GACTTCTTTGGAAACCAAAGTAATCATCTACCTGCGATTTCAACTTATATTGGAAATCCAACAATACAATGTTCTAATTATAAAGAGAACACAACAAACATAGGTTTAAGCTTGGATCAAGTATGTTATAAATGTCACAACTCTTTTGCAAGAAGTTTAGAGTAGAGTTCGCTAATGTAAATACGAAATTTTGGCCTTGGTGCTGAAGTTTGAAGACTGATAATTTTATTTTTTATTGTTAAGTTAAACCTTCTGATGAAAAAGGAAATGTTTAGTTTAAGTTTTATTGTTATAGCAGTTTTGTTCCTAAAGATTTATATTTATTTATTTTTCAAAACAACAGAGAGATGTTCCATAACATAGAATTGAAATATTCGTCTGTTTTTACTTGTTCAAACTATTAAAATGTGCGCTTTGCAATTTTATAATTGCGAGCCATTGCAGAGATTTATTGAAAGCGGAGTGGTCACTGCCGTAGAACAGGGCGCTGTCAGCAGTTCGCCACTTCTATTTGCGCAAGCCTGACCCAATTTAAACCAATGTCCAAACACAATTAGACCTGTATTTCTTCCCAATGTATTTGTTTACCGTTGAAAATAAAGCTGCCTAGAATGTTTCGCAATGTTACTTTTAATCACTGTGATAGTTGTAAACTTTTAATAAAAGTTCAATCTATTTGTTTGTTGTATTTTATCTTAGTATAGTAAGATTGGTAATAATAAGGTGACAATTTCAATACTAATCAATCATTGCATTTTCGTTTTCACATACTACGTTAATAATTTATCTCAAATACCTTTAAAGAACCATCTTTCAAAAATCTTTTAAAGTAATGAAAAGTGCAACGTATTTATATTATACTAGCTGTCCCAGCAAACTTCGTATCGCCATAAAAAAATAGGGGTTGGTGTTAGAAGGGTGAAAATTTAAGGTTGTATGTATTTTGGTATAATGTATCATAAAAAACCAAAAAAAAATATACAGAAAAAAATTTATGGTGGAGACCACCCTTAACATTTAGGGGGAGATGTTGTCCGATTCTCAGGCCTACTGAATATGCATATGCATTGCATATATAAATTTCACAACAATCGGTCGACCCGTTTTTTGTTTTTTTGACCCGAGAATTTTATATATTAAATTAGATATAACAATATAGACTATAATTTGCTTGCACTACAATAATATCTAATGAGGTGGAGTAAAACATAGTAAGAAATCGTAATAAAAATCTTCTAGATAAAACTGTAATCTATCGTTTAACGTCTATGTCTTAACAACGTTATATTTTGAGTATAAAATTATTGAAGAGCATGTTCTCTTGGCGCGGCGCTTACACGATCATTATGTTTCTAGATACATTCATATAGTGATGTGTCGTTATCGTTATTTGAAATCACGAAACGAAAACGTTATTTGTTTTTGAATAACGTTGTAATAACTATTTATTTTTGACAACTATCTATTTTCACATCGTCGAACATTATCGACAATACACTAAAATAACTTAATGAGAATTATTGTGTGAATATTCCTTAAGTATTTACTGTTTTCAAAACGCAATACAGGCGTACTTAAAAGTTCATTGTTTGTACATTAATTTCACTTATGTACAGGATTATTTTTATATACAAAGGACATTTGGCAAAAATGTATGGACGCTGCACCCACGTCCGCCACGGCTTAAACTACATTTGTCTGAAAGGTATTATAGTCGAGATCATCTGTGCCATAGCGCATCAAATTCCATCCCGGGGGTCTTTAGTTATTTTAAGTTAAATATATACAAGTACTATTGTGAAAGAACATTAATTTCACAAGGGAATTAATTTAGTTAGTTAGTTCGACCCTACATAGGATGCTCAGGAATTATGGGAGTACTTCACAAGGTGCAAGGGTGCCCCCTTATGTTATTCTGCCGCGCTAGAGTAAATCCAAAAATCCCCGCTTGGGTTAGGTTTTTTTAAACATTCTGTTCGTTATAGTAAATTGTCTTCTATGTAGAACGGAGTGACCACAGATTACACAAACTTGTCCACGCTTCGGAGAACACATGACTCCAGTTCATCCATACTAATTGGCAAAACCAATAATTGTGTTCCAATATCCAAAGCGTGTTAGATAAAAAATAATCAAGTAGCATGGAGCGCACAATCACAACGAAGTAAGACAAGTCTACTATTTGCAACTGCAAGTCCTTCATCATCCGTAAACTGTTTTTAAATGTCCCAGTAAGAGCAAGCGTAGGATGGTCGGCAGGCTTTGTCGTATATCTGGTTGTATAGTACGATATGGAATAATAATATTATTATGATTACTAATAATATAAAATGAAGGTACTATAAAATGAATTTATTCAGCTACTTAAATATGCCCATGTATCATATCTATTGACTACCAGGACATTTTTACGGTGTCATATCTTTTGACTCCCAGGATATTTATTTTCGGTGTCATAATTAAAAAGGCTAGTTTTTCATAGATCTATCGATTCATACTAATTACATTGTTGGCGGAGCTGGGTGCATTTTGCCCATTGTCCTTTACAATAATAAATAGTATATACATATATTTTTGACCATTTTCAACCTTATGCAAACGTCTTAAAGTCTTCTTCATTCGCACGAAGTAGATTATCTCGTTCACCGTTACTTATTATTAAAACGCATTACATTAACCATTCAATCAAATGCGCGTAAAAGAATCACAGTCAAGACGGGTAATGTAAAGCGTTCTCGCTCAAAGTTGGCAACGTATCGCAACGAAACGAATAGAGACTAGAGTAACCATACCCAACCAAAAGCAACGTTTTGTGACGTTTTGGCTAATGAGTGAATTTAGAGCGTTGTGGAAAATAAATAGTTCGTTAGACAACGAGTGATTGTTATTCAGCTAGCTATGTTGTATAACGCCCATAGCTAGTTCATACTATTTATACTCTTTATCTGGAGCTCGATAGCGCAGGCGGTTAGCGTGTTCGGCTGCGATTGTTGAAGTTAAGCAACTTTCGCAGTTGTCGGTCATTGGATGGATGACCAAAAATCTTCTATCTCGAGTTCCTCCGTGCTTCGGAACGCACGTTAAGCCGTTGGTCCCGGCTGTATCTGCAGTCGTTAGCACCCACCAATCCGCTCTGGGCCGCCGTGGTGGGTTATGGCCCAATCTGCCTATTCCATCCATAGGGAAGGCCTGTGCCTCGGCAGTGGGGTCATTAATAGGCTGATGATGATACTCGTTATATCATGTAAGGTAAAGTTTCTGTCATTATTTATTTACAAGACACTCATTAGGTACTAGTTAGAGATCTACCGTAAAAAAGACCACAGTAAAGTAGTATGACGACCTAAATCCGGTTTTCATGGTGTCGCCTGCTCGAGAGGTTCGAATCCCAGTGGGGGCAGATGTTTGTGTGATGAATACGAGCATTTTTACTCCAGTCATGGATGTGTAATATATATTTCTATATAAATATACTTATATATGTATCAGTATATGTATTCTATCCAATACTCTAGTATCCCATGACAAAAGCCTACAGTGCTTACTTTGGAGCTATGCTAATTGATGTGAGTGTTACAAATATTAATCTATTTATCTTTACCTTCAGCTGGCAGCAAAGTGCCTGCAGCTGCATGATCGTCGCTAGGTTCGAGAATCGTAGTGATAAACTGATGCGCGGGCGCAGCACGGGTGTAGCGCTACAATCGAGCATTTATTATTTCTATGGATTGACCAAGCGCGGCTGCAGCGATTAAGAAGCGCGGCTGCAGCGCTTAAGAAGCGCTACCTTGAAGGTGCCGTAAGACTGAGGGATAGGGTTCTGGCTGTATCAACTATATTTGCCATATTAACTATCATTGATAGGGTAGTAGTAATTTCTTGTACCCTGTACAAACAAAACACTTTCCAATTTCATTATGTTTTGTCCGTTCAACGAGATAATTGTTTTCCACATCTTGTTAAGTATAGAATAATTGGCTTCTCATAGAAACATTATAATTATCTTTTTCCCCCAAAATGTTGTTTGCGATTAAAGGTAGACTATGTGCTTTTTCTAGGGGTAGTTATTCCTGCTATACCAAGGTAAACTTGTACTTTACCAGTAAAATCTTATCTTATATCTATAGAATTCTACCAAAAAACTCCTCACGATATAAACATAATTATAGTATTTACGACGTGCTAATTTATTACATGTTGTATTATGTTTATAAATAATTAGGTAATTACTTATTTCATGAAAATTAAATGTAATTTCAAAAGTATTTAATGATTAAATTAAGGGATTAATATACTTGCATAGCTAGGTGTGCGTGGTAACCAAGTAACCTGGAATTTTAATGAAAGTATCTGTGAAATAGTTGAATAACAGTTTTTAAGTTCAAGCGGTTTGATTTTGACATATTATGTCGTGATTTACTGAATCAGTTTATTGTTGTTAGTTGAAAAGCGATTATGAGCTCTTATGAAAACAATTCAATAGGCAACAATAATCCCATATATTCATGATATAAATTAATATTAATTACGCTGAAGTTAGTTTACTACAAATCGAATTAATAATTATTAAATTTGACTTGTAAATATTTGTAGGTAATATCTACAAAACATTTAACATGAACCATTTTATATTTTTTATTATTTTAAAGCATGTTACTGCTTGATGTTTAAATCTAAAGATTATTTTTTCTAGTAATATTTTCTTTAGATATGAACCATTTTTTATGATTCATGTAAAGGGATCGAAGAGGGTCGTCACCGGATCAACTCGAGCCATTCAGTATGCTTTGTATAAATTTCTCCACTGCAACGCACACTAATCGGATTCGTAACGTAATCGCCTCGCCTCGGACAAGTTCGTGTCCCGAGTTGATATGGTGACGATCCCTTTCCGACTTTATGTGTCAGCTACAGCCAATAAAATAAAGAAAAGTGGTTGGTATAAACATGTGTTAAGTGGTCAGTCAAATCGATTATTAAAGCTTTATCTATGTTTACAGGTCAACTTCAAGGTTCAGGGTATTCAGAGCAAGAGCCTGAGTTCCTATCACCGCTGGAGAATCTCACCGTAGCCCAAGGGAGAGACGTACATTTCACGTGCACAGTAAACCGTCTTGGAACTTATAAGGTATGTTTTTGTTTGTTAATAATAATAATATTCTGTAATACACCATACAAGACTAATAAATAAATTAAAATATGATAGACAGAACGTACACAATAAAGGCGGCCTTATTGCTAGGCCGTAATCTCTTCCAGGCAACCCATAATAGAAAGATAAATGAGGAGCTGACGAACAGAACCGGATTACTTCACGAAAATAAATTTTACACGGTGGCTAATATCAGTATTATGGAGGTGACTAATAATATATCAGACTAGTCCGGTATTGTTTGAAAATGCACTCTTTATACCTTTTTTTGCCTACTTTGTTTTTTTGGTTTTGATTGAAAATATTAAGAGGGATCGATGAAACTGGGTCAAGACATCAAGATTAAAAAAAAAATGTTTTTTGAATTGTAATGGACTAGTCCGGTTCTGTTCGCCAGCTCCTCAAATAAATATGAAGAAGAAAAGGACGGTGACGGTGTTATAGAAAAACATAATGATCAATGGCAGGAAAACAGATATATCTGAGGAAGGAAAGAGAGAGGATGAAGTAAAAAGTTTAACATAATTATTGGGAAATTATTGGAGTTATTTCCTAATAACTCCGAACTTGATCCCTAAACGAGTTCAGAATGCGAGACGTTCGAATAGTTTCTAGCAATGAGTTCCATATACCTACAGAATGCACAGAGAAGGAATAGGAAAAAAATCAGTAGAATGACTTGGCATTTCAAGAGATAGGTTAGAAGAAGATCGCAAAGTGCGCTGTGAAGTAGAAGAGAGAAACAAGAAGCATTCTTTTAAGTAATGAGGAGAAGTGGGTAACAAAAGTACGGAGTAAAGAAGCGTAGTCATATTACATATGTGTGTTCAATCAAAGCAGTAGTTCTTAACCGGTGGTCCCTGGAGGCACCCAAAGAACGCTGATTAATTCACAGAACATAAGTGGTGGTCCGTAGCAAGAGAGAAATTTTGACAAATGGTCCCTCGTCACTAAAAGTCTTAGAACCACTGAATCATAGGATGTTATGGAGGTAAGGCAAGGAGTTCGATGGTGTAACTGTATTTGCAATGGTGAAGTTTAAATAAATCTGAAAAAGTTCTCGTCCAGTCATCGAATGTGTGAATAAAATATATTAACTCCTCTGTTCCTACTTCCAAGGTGTATTAAGTTAGTGAATCCGGCTGACATAGGTTATAACTGGATGAATTCAGTAGTATTTTTCTCTCCTATGGATAAAAACATATTTAGTTAACAGCTCACACTAGAACAACACGAAATGGTGGACGTTGAGTATTGATTACTGCTGATGCAGCAATGATTTCCTGCTAAATGTTGTGTTTGAAGTGAGGAAATTGAAATCATTATCAGCCGATGGTGGTCCACTGCTGGATATCGGCCTCCTCAAGGGATTTCCAAACACAACGGCCCTGCACATTCCGATTCCAGGAAATAATAATAAGTAGGTATATGTAAACAAATATTTTTTGTTGTCCACCTAGCCACAGCCTGCTTAACTATCACAATCGTGACCGTACTTGCTTTTCTTAATTCGAAAAAACTTCTTCATATTTGTATAATAAGGTGGTATAGCTATTTATCGGATTAAAGCAACATTCATGGGAATTGAGTTTAACAAGCCTTCTTTAGCGTACACAAGCTCCCAACGTGTAAACTGAACGGTTGACAAGCTTTCCTGGGCTAGCGCAGCTTGAGCATGCGAACTTCTGCCATATTTAGGCCCACTTACAGCAAATTTGCTAAATCTCGATTCAACAAAAACTAGATTTATCCCAGAGAATCATGTTAAAATGTCAATGTCAATTTGTTGTGTATGGGTTTTATCAAGTTTAGTTAAATTGAGATTTAGCAAAATTGCTGCACGTGAACCTTAGACATAGGCTATTATGTATAACAACACACTTTTGTTTGAAGGTGGCGTGGATAAAGTCAGACACGAAGACAATCCTGGCGATCCACACGCACATGGTAACGCTGAATCCTCGGCTGTCGGTGACCCACAACGGGCACAACACCTGGAAGCTGTACATCAGTAACGTGGAGCCGAAGGATTCCGGCACCTACATGTGCCAGATCAATACTGACCCAATGATGAGTCAAGTACGTGCTAGTAAAGTTAAGAGTTTAAATATTACACGTAGGAATTTATATATATATGTGGCACTGAAAATTGCCTCATTCCAACTGATGTTATGTATGAGTCGAGTCCAATTGCAAAGATAGCTGACGCAGGAAAATAGGTGCAGCTCCAACCAATTTCACCTGCCTCATGGAGCTCTGGCTAGATTAAGTATTTTAGGAATGCAGCACTTCTAAATGCTTCTCCCACATCTGCGCGACTGAGCTTCGATACTAAAATGCGCTAAATACAACTTTTGAAATTTGTTACAACACACACCCACAACCTCTTTTATGCTGTCTAGCGTCAATAGACACGCAGGAAACGCAAATTTCGAACGCTAATTTAAGCGCATTTAGTTCCAAGCTTCGGTGCACAGGTGTAGGAGAATTACTAATGTGCTTCTCCCACATCTGCGTGATAAAGAACACAATAAAAGACTTCATCGGAGAGTAGATTGATGTGTCTGCCAATAACATACTACCCACAGTTATTTCAGTTACACCGTAATTATGGCACTTGAAACAGTGCCGAAATATCAGAGACTTGCAAAAAACAAAGTAACAATCCTGTAAATAATACAACTTACTATAATGTTTGATCGTGACCATGAAAGTTTTAAACAATATGCAGCACTTCTAATCTGTAACGGTGTATTTGGTTGTTCTCTTCTGTAAGGTGGATTTACATAAATTTCAAATCTAGACAGGAATTTGCTGTGCATCTCTTATACTTCTTAACACGTATGAGATATACGATTACATGCGTTTGCTATGGAATATTTATTCTTAGCCACCTCTTAATAAAGCCTCTTTCGGGAAACTGAGAAGAAAACACTGTCAAGAAATAAAAGTGACATACTTAAACAATTATGAAACAAAACCAGTTTCTACTCAATAAAAAAATAATACCACTTCATGCTTTCACGGTTCGAACCGCGGACCTTTGGCGAGAAAGACAGAACCAGTGCCGTTTTACCGAGTATGCACTTTAGGAATTTATACTACCTAATAAACTGGTAACGATTTAATCTGAAAATTCATTAAATAGGCATATTTCGTCAGACTGACAATTATTCTCGTAAGTAATATGTGATTATGAAAAGTGTTGTTGATGATTGAGTGTCAATTAGGGTAATGTCTGGAGAAGAAAAACAATATTGAAAAAGCTCTCTAAAGTGAAACTCATTTTTTTCTGCGTCATTCGAACAGTTAATCCTTATGGAAAAAGGGTATGTTGGTTTTACAAATGTCACGAATACCAACCTCAGTCGGAGCGTCAAAGCAATGCTCACATTTTAGGAAAAAAAGCTAGCATTGCACGATTTTACGAATATCGACGCTTTTATGTACCACTATTTCATTTCTACGTCGATTGAACATTGTACACATTTTTAATATTTGTTTTTGTCGGGTTTTCCGCAAATACCGCATTGTTATAGAACCTCCACAGAACCTCTTGTTTACGCAGAATAACCAGAACATGTACAATAATAACAGTAAAATAGCAAAACATTAACGCGAATTTCTCCATTGATGTATTTTTACAATCTGTAGTTTGATATCAGTTTGTTTATTATGGTAGCTTTTTTGTAGAGTTCGGTAATACGTTAGCTGTCTAACGTAATGTTTAAATAATTTTCCTATAGAAAATTATCTATGATACTGTGATAGGTATTAGGCTAGATGCCTTGAAATGTTATTTTCATCTATCGCGGACTGCTTCCACTGTAACAAAAAGCTTTATTATTTTGTAATAAATATGCTCAGTCATTTGTATTACGCGTCTTAACCGTTAGTTTTTAAACCAAAATTTTATTGTTTAAGGTTTATTTTTTCGCTAGGCAGGCAAATGGATACCCCACTTTATGTTAAGTGATGGTAAAAGTCCAGACGCGAAGATAGCTGGTGCAGCAGTTATGAACTGCCACATCGACCATTCTCACTTTGCCGGCCTGCAGAAATGTTTCTTCACACCTCATTTAAAGGACACCAAATAGTAGGAATGTCAGTATGCAAAATAAATGAGTTACCGAAATTCTTTGTTCCTGTGGTAATAGTGGCTAGAGTAAGTCAGTGACAACGAGGGCCAGCGCGCTTGATCCGCTGAAGGAAAGGATAAATTGGGATAAGGGAGAATAACTCCTCAGAATCCTCGCCGTGTTATAGTAGGTAGAATGCGCTTAGTGATGCCACATCGCGGCGTAATTGTAGACTCGCGGTCGAGGTCGCCGATGATGCGGCAGCGCGCCATTGCAACTTATCAAGGCATCCAGTCAGCATTTGGTGGAGCCATCTCAGAGGTGCGAGCAATATTTTACACAGGACCGCACTTGCATCTTCTGCAATAAGCACAGTTGATAGGGCGTGAAATAACGCCGCACCGAAATCAGAACTCCAAGTTTTCGTGAAGCGGTATTAATCATGGTTACGATGTAGCCCTTTGGATTCAGGTCTGAATGAACTTCCTTACCGAGCATGGTGATGTTGCTTTGTAGCGCCAGTGTTGTGCCCTGAAGATAGGGGATAGAATGGCTATATTTTTGCCGTGAAAAACGCAATCCTGGATTTTCTAAGCACTGAACACAACCAAGTTCCTGGTGCCTCATATAGAAAAGTGGTCTAAAGCCCGATTGAGTTCAATGATAAGATTCTCCCGTTTCTCCTTGGTTTCTACCTGTCCTAATATAAGGTACATTAATTATTCAACCAAAACTGTTGCTACAGCAACAAACAATTACGTTCTGGTATAATCTTACTTATATAAAATATTTTTTTCATCCCACCACCTCGGAAAGTGTAATTTTGCGCTTCGAAATCTGGCTGGAAAATTCTATTTTATTCGCTTGAGCGGCAAAGTAGATTTGAATTTAGAACATCACATATAATGAGTACTCAATATAATTGTAAATTCAAAACGTCATTAAACCTATTTAATGTAACCTCTATGGTGCCAAATTTATGATTAGAACTTTTTAAATTGTGAAAAAATTTAAATTTGGAACCTTCTTGGTTTCTTTGTTTTATTTGCGTGCTTCGCGCCATTCTAGTTTTTCACGTTTTATTGCTTAATATAATTAACATAACCTAAAAACTGTACAAAAAAATCAACTAAAATGAGTGACATTAGCGACGATGAAGTTTATCTAACGCCAACTGAGTTAACTGAAACAGTTAATAATGCGCAAATGAGCCTTCTCCCTCAGCAATCACGAGAGAAGTATTTGAAACAGTACGATATATTTAACATGTGGCGACTAGCTAAAGGAGCAAAAACTTTCTCCGAAAACGTTTTGCTGGCATATTTTATAGAATTATCTGAGACCAAGAAAGCAAGCACGCTATGGAGTACGTATTCAATGCTAAAATTAACAATTAAGATGAAGAAAGACGTTCATATCGACACCTATCATAAATTAGTGGCATTTTTAAAAAGAGCCTCATCTGGTTATAAACCAAAAAAATCGAAGGTTTTCACAGCATCTGAAATTGCAAAGTTTATTAATGAAGCACCTGATTCCGTATATTTAGCGGCAAAAGTAAGTCAATACGTGTAATTTTTTGTTGTTGATAAAATTGTACATAGTACTTACAATATTTTTAATTTGATTAATTTATTTACGATTATAAATACTTCTTTTGTTACAGGTTGTTCTTATTATTGGTATAACCGGAGCATGTCGAACAAATGAACTTACACTACTTAATGTCAATAACGTATCAAAATATTCTCATAATTCTGATGAATTGCTATTAATTAATGTACTAAATACCAAGACAAAAAAAGACCGCAACTTCGTTATTCGCAAGGAATATGTAAACATTGTTCAGAAATATCAAGCTTTACGTCCTTCTAACACCCCAATTGAACGATTTTTTCTACAATATCGCAACGGAAAGTGTATCCGACAACCTATGGGTCAGAATAAAATTGGCAGTATTCCACGAGAAATAGCAACTTTTCTCGGACTTTTAGAACCCCCGTTATACACCGGTCACTGTTTTAGAAGAACCTCAGCCACACTTTTGGCCGAATCAGGGGCTGATCTTCTATCGCTTAAGCGCCATGGAGGCTGGAAGTCTAATTCGGTTGTAGAGGGATACATAGAGGATTCAATCCAAAGTAAATCAAAAATTTGTAATAGTATCGTGGAGGCCATAACGCTGAAAGAACCTCTATCAGATTCTTGGTCTCGCCCTTCTACATCTAAAATGAGCCCCCATAAGATTGGAAACAATAGCCCTCTCTCGCCAACATTTACGCCAATAGAATCCAATGAATCGGCACAACTATTTAAAATTACTGATACGAGTAGTTTACCACAAAACAGCGCACAATTCACAAACACCAACATAACATTACCTAACAAAAATATTAAACTTAACATAAGTAACTGTAGCAACGTTACATTTAATATTTCTTAATTATTTTCTACTTCTTATTATTTTCTTCAATTTATAGATTATCTTAATGTGTTTTAATTGAAATAAAAATATTTTGTCATTATAAATTGTTTTCTTTTTCATTTTGTCATTTCCTCGCTGAGGTGGGATGAAAAGTTACGTATTGCACTCGAGTGGAAAGATTTTTCACCTTGTGCTCGTTTGTTTCCCTCGCTGACGCTCAGGATTCTAATTTAGAATCACTCGCTGCGCTCGTGATTCAACTTTAGAATCCTTCGCTTGCTCGGTCATCCAAATCGAGCACGCGGTTAAAAAGGAACTTTCCACTCTTGTATAATAAATAACTATTTTTCGTTGCCTGTCACGAAATATGGCTTTGAAACTAATATAAGAATTTCACCGAATCGGATCAATAAATAATAAAATGAGCATCACATCGATGCGGGATAATATATTAGGACGACGCGACGAGGACAAATTTACCTACCGAATATTTCTATGATCAATGATTTACATTCTCCCGCTTGATTTATTGAGTACAATTTAATTTTAAATCAAGATATAAGATAAATGTTTAT